CAGACTCTCGCACACAGCTCAGTCTACTTTACGTCATTCAAAAACGGAAGCCTTCTCTCTCTCCTCCGTCAGATTTCAAGCGTCGAATTTCCATCAGTTCGAACGTGATTCTTAAAAATGTCCAAGATATCTCTAACGTGAATTTTTCCAAATATTCCAACGTTCCCTTTAAATCTTCTGTTCTCAGTCTTTCTTCGAAATTTGACCTACTTTCTGTGGAAGACGTTAACTCGTTGAGTAAATCACTCCGATGAATTATACGAATAAGAAGAATTAAGCGAGAGAGCTGTTAGGTGGTGGTAAAATTTAAATATCGCATAAAAATTTACAGTGTATATTACGTGGCTTTAGCGACGTATAAATTTCGCGCTATCTTAATGCATGCAGGTTAAACCACAGGCTGTAAGAACGTTTCTCGTGTGCATCGATATGTGTATACACGTGCCACGGATACAGGAAAATGTTGCATGGATATGGAAAAATTTGTGCGAGCCTCTTGATCCCAACACTACTTATCCAGCCAGAGGTACCAAGGCAACCCCTCTAAATCTCCCCTAACCGCGCGTAGAACCGCGCACGTTTCTCTCTCTCTCTCTCTTCCTGTTCCGCATTCTGTCCCTCTTTTTCGCGTATTTCTTCGGCCTGCTTGTTACCGCGATCTCTTATCTTGCCGCACAATGGCCCTTGCTCTTTTCGACTGCTCGTGGCCTTGAGAAGACCGGCTCGAAAAGTCCTTCCGTAGATCGATGAACGAAGAGAGAGAGAGAGGAGGAGAACGACGAAATCGAAAGCGGAATCGTGAAAATTAATAGAGGCAAGAAACTTTATTTCATCGAATGCCAAGTGACGGGGAACTGTTGTATGAGATTCCATTCGACAAACCGTTCTTCTTGTTAGGCAGAGAGTCGAGCGTAGACTTAATTGAGCCGTAACTCGTTGCCTCTAATTGGGGAGATTCGAAACCCGCGCAGTGGGACGAACTCGTGTGTTTGAACGAAAGTTTCGTGCCTACCAACCCTGGGAACTTGTTTGTCGCGAATGAGAAACGTCTTCCTTTGACTCCACAGCGTGACGTTTAAATTTCTGCCTTTTTTCCTGCAATTTCTCTACGGATTTCGTGGTATCGTAATTGAAAGATTTGAGAGGTGAAATGAACTCGGTGCAAATTTACTTATCTCCGTTTATCTTTATTGTGGAATAAATGGGAAATTAGGTGGCACGTATCGTGTTCACTTTGCGTCAATTTGGAATAGAGATCTCGAGATATCTTGTACGGAAGTTGTTTTTAGCGCGTTTGGCTGAATTTCAACGTTCGTTGATACGTGCAACTCGAAACGTGTCGAATCGAAAATGAAGTTTTCAAAATGTATCTTTGTTTCTGACGGAATTAATTGCGGCAAACTATCCGCGTCATTGGTGTGCTATTATACCAGTTTAATAATAGTTCGTTTCCGAGTAGCAATCCGCGCCGTGACACGTTCATTTTCAGCTTTGGCCAGGCGGAGAGGTACGATGATACAAAGCTGTCGAGATCGTGTTCTGAAGTGGCTAACAAACGTTGAGGGACGACGATCGGTCATATCCCTTGAGACCTTTATCCATAGAACACGATGCACACGCTGCATTATTAAAGCACGGCTGTGTAACTTCATTCACGGTTGCCTGCCACGTTTTACCTTGTTTCTTGTTGCCTCTTTGAAGAGATTTCGTGAAATGAACGACCCTCTTTCGCCAGACTCTTCATTCTTTATGCAAGGGGGTCTCACAGAGAAGGGATGCAATTTTCGGTGGTATTAAAACAGTTTCGATCTACACGTGCTCTTAAAGGGTAATTTCTATTAAATTGCCACGGGTCAGGTTTACCCGTACGTTTTCCTGATTTTTCATTTCCTCGTGCAGGGTTTTGGGAACGTGTAAACTCGCGAAACAGCTTAGAGTTTACCATTTAGAGAAAAGAGATAAAAAGAAGCGACGATATTTAGATCGCTCCGAAATCGTATAGAGCTCGGTGGAAATTATTACGGAATGATTGAACTGGAATCTAATAATCGAGTAATCGTGGGACCCAATTCGGTCAATTAGAGTGTCGTAGTATCCCAACTTCGTTAATTCCGAGTTTGTAGGACCCGAGTTAGGTCATTCTGGACTTATAAGAGCTCAACTCCTATAATACCAAAATTGTAAGACCCCAGTTGGATTATTCTGTAGCAGTATGTCCGAATTCCACGACTCAGAATCATTGAACCCGGATCTAATCACCCCAGGGTTACAGGACTCGAGTTAAGCCACCCTGGGATTACAAGACCTTGACTTCTATGACTCCAGAAACTGTCAGACTTTAATCTTCAGACAGTAGACCACATATTCGGATCGTAGAAGTTGATATGTGGAGACTGTCAGGTGATCAACGCCTGAATCTCTCAAATTTAATATGAGTCTCTGCAACTGTGAGTTCCTTCAAAATTTTTCCAAGAATATAACACTAAATGTGGATACTAAAATTTCTTCGTTAACCCTCCAGCCAATATGCTTCCTCCTGCTCCGCGTATTTTTGATTATTTTTTTTTATTATTGCACTAAAAGTACGATAAATTTCGTCCACGAAAAAAGAAAAAATGAAAATCGCCTGCGGTTGGAGGGTTAATTTATCGTACAAACAAAGGACGAACAAGTATTCCCCGAATCTAATTCGTCTTATATACGATATTCTGGTCATCGGCGAGAATTGTTCCCTCCTAATAATTCACCGGTTTTTTGTCTATACGCGTTGTAGTATTGGTTATTAAGCACTCTGTGCAATATTTATGGAGATGTCTCCGATCGATCATCGGAGGCCGATGGAAAATAAAATCGGCTCGTCGAACGATTCATCCTCCATCCTCTAATCATCCGCGTTTCGGAGGAAGGAGCAGGAAGAGGACGGAGGAGAGCCGGAGAAGAACATCGAAAAGTTCGTTCCATTTCGAACCGTAATCCCGGCGTGTCACCGCCGGGGACAATGGCGTTCCAGAAATCGATGAGAGACAACGGAAATATATTCTGGCGAACGAAAGAAAAATAATCCCGATTAATTGGCTGGCGATCCGAGCGACGAAACGCTGCTCGAAACGAAGTTACTGGTTAATCAGAATGGGCACGATGTGACATATTTTTCCAAAAGAGCTCCGTAGTTTTCAATGATAAATTAATCGTAAATTTATTTTCCTTTTCCTTAAAAAATCGACGATTAATATGAAAGATCTCGTAGAATTATGACAAATCTGTTAGAATATTATGGCAGAAATCGTTCAACTGGAATGAAATACTTTTTATGGCAACGAGTGCCATTCATCTTCAAGTACGGCATTCTTTTCAACGGTAAAAGGACCGTCTGGGTCAAAAATGACCCGTGACTAACTTTCGAAAAGTGATTTTTTAATTAAAATTACATTCGATGCAAAAAGAAGTATGCATACAGAAAACAAAGACAGAAAGTTACTTTTCTTGGAGAATTCTCATTTTTTTTGGAAAGTTGCTAATGGACACTTTTTAAAAATTCAGAAATCTTGAATTAAAGTTTAATAAAGCGGCGAATAAATCATCGTCCACCTCGAAACGAAGAAGATAAATAATCCTAAGTACATTAAACGTTGTTCGCGTTAACGAAGTATCGGCGAGTCAGTCGAAGCTGCATTTCATTACTTCATCGAAGCAATCACGCAAGTACCTACCTACCTACCTACCGTTACGTAACTAGTTTAAGAAGAAATAATTCCCGACAATTATTCTTATTGCGATTGAACGAGGGCAAGCAGGTGATTTAAGGGTGTTTTGCGCGAAGTTCGCGATTGAGGCTAACATTAACGAGGCTTCCATGTGCTCGTTTTGCACGGCCGTAGAGAATTGCGGGTCTGCATGGGAAAACTTACCCCCTTTCGCGAGTTTACGCGAGAAAAGCTCGACGAAGTTCCGTCGAGTGGCAGACACAAGACACAATTACTCACCGAAGTGCGGGCTCCGTCTCTTGCCGCGAGAAAAACTCGAAATATTCCGGCCTACATCGATTTAAGCCGGGATTAGTGAACTTTCCCCGACAGTCGGAGAATGTCGATGTCGCAGGAGGATTATCAGAGTCACTAGGACACGCTGAATTAACATTTATTCCTGCATTTTATGATCTGGAAAAAATTCGAGAAACGATGCAGCTTTCTGTTGTTCGTTTTACGTAAAGAAAAATTGGAAAAAATTGTTATTTAACGTGGTGGTTTATAGAGAGTATCTACTTCTCGAAATTTCTTGTAAAATATGTAGCCTTTTATTTTATTTTTTGAATTACGATCGTCGATTTTTCTTATAATTTCAATTCCTTTCTCTATTCTACAGAAAGAAGATAAATTAACACGATGCAAAAGTAATCGTACAAATTTAAATGCCTTACGACGAATAAAGAGAGAGATAAACAATCCATCGTAGTACGGATGAAACAAATTCCAGCAATTCTTAAAGAGAATTCCGTTCGATTTCCATTTTCTCGTTACGAAATTTGATTGAAATACGCAGGCTGTTCATGGAAAGTAGGTACGCTATAAATATTACGCCGTAGCGAGTTGACGATGAAATATGGCGCAGTCGAAATGAGTTTAGAGAGTGCTAATAAAATGTCGGATGGATTTTAGAACGTCTAAAACTTCAAAGGAGAGACTTGCAGATGAACTTCTGTCGTTTTGATATATAGCCACTCATTTGACTACTTGGTGGTCGTTAAAAAATTTTTCGTCCTCGCGTAACTGTGTCAAACGAAGCTTGGGGGGAAAAAGGAGGAGGAGGAGTAAAGAGTAGAAAAATAAAAGGAACAATGAACGATCGAGAGCGAGAGGTACGAGGAAATTTCTCGGTTGAATTACATTCTGTTCACGCCTCGATAACTGACGAGATATTCGTGATATTTTTACAGAAGCAAGTAAGAAAAGAGTAGAGAGAAGTAGTCCTTTTCATGAAAGTTCTTATCGTCTCTGTTCCAGGGTGACAGTGCTGGGTGTTCTACTGGGGATACTCAAATGGGATCACAGTGTTACGTGTATTCTCTTACTGTGGGAATACGTACTGGGATACTTGGCCATTTTCGTGGTCTCCATGGTGGTAGAATTTTCCATCTGCTTTCTGGCAACTAGAGGGAGCATTCTGGACACTGCGGCCAGAGCGCCAATGCAATACGTTCTCTACGTTCGACTTTGTAAGTGATCGATTCGATTACTCTTTCATTTAACACGCCTTTTCTATTAGGTGAATAAATTTTCTACGGATAAACGTGAAGTAATGGATAGTCGTGTTTGAAAGATATTTCAGTACTTGTTCATTTTATTATTAATTCTGACAATTTTTATTCTTTGATTGTATCTCCAATGATTACGTACAAGCAACGATAATAAGACACGATAAAAATTTCTTCTTGTACGAAAGACGGTATTAAAAATAGCTACTGTTCAAGCTAGAATTTTCTAAAGAAGGGAAAATCGTGTCTTGTCAATCTCAGGCCTACCGAATGTCCTTACCATGGTTGAATATAGTCAGTACCGTCGCGTGTGGTGGATTTGCTACTACGTAGTCGAACGTATCTGTTGTTTAACGAAAAACAAGAGCTCTCCGAGAAATGAAAGTCTAGATAAAGCAAGTTTCGTATTTATGTCACAAATATTAAAGATTTGAAAATACTTAATTGTAAAAAAATCACCGTACACAAAAATCTGTGCGTACCCACCGTACACAGAAATCATTCGAAATGACAGTATTTCATTTTTCACGTTACCACTAAAATATCAAAGCATTCGAAACTAAAAATCCCAGGACCACGGAACTTTGAAGTTAAAACCACAAAAGTGTGAAACTGGGAACCGAATATCACTGACAATTCTCAAGTTGCGATATTCGATACTAAACATCGAATCGCAACGTAGAAATCTCCAATTTGCAACTGTCTACAAAAATGGTTACTAGATTGAAATCCCCGTCTAAATCTTTCATCAGAGGACAAAATATTTACTCTGCTAATAAAGCTCATTAATTAAAAAAAAGGAAAAATGTTAAAATATTTTATCATGGTCGATAGAAAAAGTAGTGTTTGGTCAATGATCAAGCGAAGGAAATCGTAACCAATCTAAAGGTGCACGCCATGGGGCTCGTTAATGAAAGCTCCATTGGTGGTGACGGAAAGCCACTTCTTCCTTGTCGGCCCTTACAATCTTCGCGAAGCGAAGGGGAGAATATTAATAAGAACCGGGCTTTACGATGTGAATTCTTATTCGTAATAAACGATCGTTCAGCGATGTCGAAAGATTTCGGTTCGCGAACTTTGGAATTTCTCTCGAAATTGGACTAATTAAATTGTGCCTACGGTATTATAATTATTCGATATTAAAGCACGTGAAAGTTCAACGATAAACAGTAATATCGAGTTTGAAAGTAATCACGCTCTTTAATTTTCTAAGACAATAATAATAGACGGACAATATTAAAGACAGTCATTATTTCAATGCAAAAAGTCGATCCACTTTTTCCCTCTTTTTTTCACTTACGGCTCTATTGTCCTCCTTCCGAGAGTCTGTCCAAAGAAGAAGAATGTCTTCGTTTCTCGCCTTTCTGTCTGTATTCTTTCGCCTGCGCTGAAGACGAGCGTGAAATTTTCTGTCTTCCCGGCCATTAAGAAATAGAAAGTCGCGTCGTTTTTACTTTCGACTTTCTTTCCCTTTGGAAGAACCGTTGCCTTCTCAAGCGTCACTCTAATTCGCCATTATGCTAATGCACGCTTTATCCTCGGAATAGTAATCCCGGTATCGTTTGTTTCGTTACAATCACGGGGCCGGGCAATGATCATTCACGCGATTTCCGCCGTTCAATTTTTCGTGAGGATTCGAAATTTACGGAAAGTTAGGGCAACTTCTCTACGGAGAAGTTCGACGAATTCTTGGCCGGGAGATTCAAGTGCTCGAAAGTTTCTACGCTCGATTAGTCTGCTTCTAAAAGTCGATCTAATGGAAGATTCGCAAAATTCCGATTTCTTCCTCGAGAACTCTCTTTAAATCTTGCACACTCTTCGCGAAAACTTTCATGCTGCATCGCACATACTCCTAATGTCAGAAATTTCCTCGAAAATTTACATTTCTCCCGCCCAAACGATCGTCCAAATTTACAATGTGCATAATTCACACTGCCGCGAAACGGATAGAACATCCGAGCCTCTGAGATCTGACGGTGTAACCCGATTTCTTCGACGATAAAAAAAGGACCAAGTTAAAAATATACGAAAGTGCAAAGAGCAGAGAAATCCTTAATCCCAGAGACAGCGAAGTAGTCACGTCTGTATAAGCTCAATCCTTAGCACAAACTTCATCCCGTTGTCCTTAGCGTGTGCTGCATACGATGCAAAATTCACCAAGTAAAGTCTGCTGGAACGTATTCATACATATGCATACAGGTGACCGTGAGCATATATCATGGTCAAATATCGATTAAACGCCCGCGGAATTCGGTTAGAAGATGCATATGTATAAAAATTGCAGCAATCGATAGTGTAGAGATGTCGGATAGTTTATAGATGTACCGAATGCTTCGCGGTAACGACAATTGGCAAAATACGATAAGTTAAAACAACCCTTATGCAGCTCTGACAACTCAGACAACTCTTAACCCTTTCATTAAAACAGTGTCGGTCGACCAGTACGCTGCAAGCTGTACGAGACAGTTGAACCGCGAGTTTGCACTTCACCGCAAAGTGTAACATTTACTACTTGCAAAATTAATTAATTTAATAGCATTGTCTTATAAGGCATGAAAAGCCCTGAAATTTGTGTTATAAACATTTGTTTATATCTACTGTAGTTTTAAAGATATACAGGAAAATAGGGTGACACTTATCTTTATTCAAAGGCTGTTTTCACTCCGAAGAACCGAAAAAGGGCCAAAAGAAAAATCGCCTGATACTTCTCTTCAGGTCCCCTACAAACCTGCAAAGTTTCAAAAAAATCAATTCAAGCTATTCCAAGTTAGTATATCACGAATTATAAACAAACGCACGTTAGAGTAATGAAATTTAAAAAATTGTGTAACAATGTAGTTTTGTCAGTGACGATAGAAAACGTTTGATGTTGGGTGACTATAGTCACTCTTAGTAACGAAAGGATTAAACGCTCTATGTAACAACTCTTCTCTATACGACACTGATCTTCCCGATAAGACTCTCCCTTCTCTGTATATACCATTCACACCCCTATTCGCTAAGAAGACACTTCCTTCCACTTCTTCACTTTATCCCATCACACACTCACGCCACTTTTAGTTTTTTTCCCCGCTGTTGGTGGGCCTTCTTTCTGCAACCCTCAGAACGACGCAAGCAGAGGGCAAAATTTTACGATACTATAATTGTAGGAGCTGGGGAAACATTTGAGGGACCAAAGCGGAACTTTGTCCATAAACCAAGGCGCTCTATCGATTTCCTCGCTATTTGCTTATTTTGATGGAGGTCCTGATTCCACACTCGGCGATCCTGCGAGGACGTTCGTCCAACGAATCTCCGAAGCGCACTTGAACTCTCTCTATCTCTCTTAACATTTTTGGGCACACTCAGTGACACTCAGCCGAAACTCTCTATTTCTCAAAACTCTTCTGGAGGACCGTGCAACCCTCTCACATGTTTCTCCTTCACGAAACAACTTTATAGATGCCTCCATCCCTGACGAGTCCCCAATTTTCTAGAAGCCGAGGAGAAATTTGAATCCAGGACTCTACGCCCATAATTAAAGCACCCTCTTCAATTCCTCGTTGTCATTAGCTCCTTTTTGTTCCCGCACAATAGCGTTCGTTACTTCCTGCTACAGAGACGTATTTACCAAAATGTACGTGCATATGAAATCACCGACAATAGGTCAGTGTGTTACACGTCGATTATAATAGAAAGAATTACAAGGAACCGTCTGTTTTCGGGTAAGGCACATGCACACACACACACACACACTGGCACGTATTAACGGTTCTGGAAGCGATCCAACTCGAATCCGCCCTGTTTCTTGAGCGTTCCGGTGCACCTTTCGGGATACTCGATAGAAATTCCGATCACGTACAGCTGATTGGTCGGATGCGTGTAGAGTGTAGGCAGAGGCCACCGTCGTTGCAGCTTGTATATGTATACCTGCTCTCTTCTTCGTTTCTTTGTTCCATTGGGTCGGGGCGGTCTTCGACACTTCCGTCCAGACGGGATTGCGAGTAACGAGACGGGAATGTATGTCAAATGCAGCTGTGAAAATCGAAATAAAGATACTGTTCTGTGTACCAGCGTCGATAAAAATACCGAGACGACGAATAACTGAGACAAGTTTGCGTGAAACGGAATGAAAATGTTCACGGAACAAGCACGATCGTGGGGGAGATAAAAATTTTGCGAACAGTCTCGATTGAAGTTTCGTCCTTTTTAATATCGAATCGAGCGAGGAGAGGTAGCATCGCCGTTGTGTACCAGATGTGAGAAAATACCGCGGTGAAATCCAAAATTTCCAGTAGAATTCAGATTTGACGGAATGAAATGGAAATTGGGGGCGAAAGTGTAAATTATATTTGGCGAAAGCTGAGCTGAAATTCGGATGTTTCTGTTGAATATATCGAATGAGATTGGAAAAATGAAAATATATATCCAGTAAACGTAGAAAGATGCGGGTAATTGATTGTGCGATATTGGATGTTTAATAGTGCACGATTTACATTTTTAGCTTAGATGTATTGATTCTTGCCTTTTCTGTATTTTTAATAAAACTCGTGTATTTATAAAGTAATAAGGAAATCATCGATACGTGTCGAATCTTGCGAGCGAAGCTTACCTAGATTTGCTAATATTAATCTGTCGCTGAAAGTTGCTTACTTCATATCGCGATCAAAGTTTAATCAATTAAACCGTGATTCAGAATACTCGACTAACGTAACTTTTCCAGTGAGAATTTTATCGCTTATTCAACAGACTGTTTAGCTTCCGCTTCTGATAACTCGAATAACTCACCGTCACAAATATATCTTCCTGTTTTCGCGTTTAACGGTCGCGACATTTCAGCCGTATCTAAATTACCCGGTATGACGAACGCGGCAAAAGCTTGGTACGATATCGAACGAATTATCTGGAATTATTCTAATTATCACTATCTCGCATGACTGCTTCTTCCGCTATACTTTGGACCTTATTTAATTTCAGGCTCTTTGGAAAATTGAATCTGTTTCCTTATCTCCTCCTCGGTATTTAAGCTAACGCTTTAAAGAAACCCCGCAAATTAGAAAAAACTTGTATTAAAAATATTCCAGAATTAATTGTAGAAAATTGATTTGAGAAAAGTTTCCAATTGGTACGCTGTACGTTGATGTTTCTTTTATTAAAAATGTATGAATATTTTGTTATCGCGTTATAAGTCGATATCTTTAGATAAATTCGAGGTAGTTTCGAGTTATGCAATCGTATTGATAAGTAATTGGGTCAAACGCATTTGATGGAAAGCATGAAAAGCTACCGCGCTGAGAAGCATAGGAGCATGATTTTGCGGGGAAACCATCCCTGGCTCCGATATTCGAAGAAAGCACTGTCGATACCTTCAATCCTTATCCGGCGTAAAGTTATAGCATTCACGTTGACGTACATTCTTTCCTTTCAGCCAAGAAATAGCAACCATCCGTGGCCAAAAAAAACAGACGTTTACGAGACGCTCGAATTCACATGACCCAAATATTTCCCCCTGTTTTCCATCGGTGACATCTTACTGGCGAATAAGATGAAAAAAAGTGTTTGTTGTAGCAATTTAGTTTTGCACTTCTGTTTTTGGTTAGAATTAAAAAATGTACCGTAAAGAAGTAAACTTGCGAATAACGAACACACTTTATTTTCATTTTTTGTATCTCTACCAGGAAAGAGCTGAGATTTATTTTCTTTTTTTTTTTTGGAATTTCCAGTAGAGTGCTTTAAGTCGAGTTTGTTTATTTTCATGGAAAAATGGATTAACGAATTCATGCATACAGCGGTCGCTTTGAATTAGGTTTCAAAAGTGGTTCAAAGGATTACAAACTTCTTACTGTATTCTAGCTGAGCGTTTAAATGTATTCTTCACGAGATTACGTGCCTATTTACATTCCTTTCTTTTATACAAATTTATAAATAAAACACATAGCTCTGTGTGCAGAAGAAAATCATAGTTTATATTTTATCAGGTCGTGCAACGCATTCGTTGTTCTTCCCGCTGTTACTCCAGGGAAAAAGCACAGTACACGTCGATTTCCCCGTTGATTCTTCAATTTTACAGGTCAAAACTAACCAAATCACGCATTCATGCATTTTATTCAATTCTGTTACAGTCCTGTTACTGGTAGAGACTGGCTGGTTGTGCACAGGTGTCACGTGGCTGGTCCATTACTACCAAACATGTCCCGTTGACCAGATCAAAGATGTAATGCTAGGTAAGCTTTCTACGGTGGATACCGAAAGTCCAATTTATAAACCTCCCGTGATATGAAACAAAAGCGATATACAATGTAACGTAAGCTTCTTACCAACGGCAAACTCTCGTCAGATAAGTTTCATCTCGGTAAGAAATCTCTCTTGGCGCGAAGAAAATCCCACGTTAACTAAATCTCACGCAGATAAGAAACTCCGTGGCAAGCAAATTCTATGTCCACTAAATTCTATGGAAACAAGGATCTCCATGGTAAAAGAGAGCGCGAGTCCTCTCCTCTCCTATGTTAGTTCAATTTTACGCGAATCCAGATTCCGTGTCACGTAAAAGCTCTCTCTCTCTTGCAAAAGCGAGGCTCGTGCAGAATCTTTTCCAGTTGCTTTGAATCGTTAAACACGCGAAGAAACGTTATAGCCGGTCTGCAATCAAAGCAGTTCGATTTCAGCTCTCCGATTGCGCCGCAGGTTTAGTGATATCAAATTGGTGCGTATTGGCCTCGGTGATGGTAACTGTATGGTGCACGTACGACGCAGCAGGCAGATCGTGGGTGAAAATGAAGAAATATCAACGCAGTATGAGGGAGGCGGAATCAAGATGTGCGAAATTGCATTACAACCGAAGCGGCAGCAGAAACAGAAATTGGCGGCAAAGGTAAACGTTCAAGATCCTTGTGTTTCGCTCTTCGACGTCTGACTTATTACCGACTACTTCCACTGAGACGTTTATCCTTCGAGTCGCTCGGTGCGCGGTAGCTTCTGCGAGAGTCGCTTTTAAATGGCTTTTATCGGACGCTTAGACGTTTCTTGGTATTCTGTTGTTGAAAATACTGCCCTTCTTAAATTTATCTTGCCTCGATTAACAGTTTCGAACGTTCGAGAAAAATGAGTTTCTTCAATTTTAGACTATTTGTGAATAAACTGGAGTGTTCATAGAGTTCTGCAAAGGACATTCTAATTCTTAAATGGTTAGTTGACAATGAATTTTCCAGTGTAAAAAATTCAAAGTGAGAATAATTTATTTGCGAAGGGATTGAAATATTTCAATTTTTAAAGATTACAAACGCAGTAACCTTTTACGAGCTACTTTAAGAGCATTCGACCATTAAAACGACGAAAATTTTGATACTTCTAGAAAAGTTATACGAGCGTACCAGGATAGCTGGGACAACAGGTGCAGACTTCTGTTTTGCTGCATGGGTAATTCTGATAGAAACCGAGTAAGTGTCGCCCCGGAAATGAGGCTAGCGCTTTAAAGAAATTTATTAGGTCAATGCAGAACATTTGCTCGTTTTTCTATGGAGCTCTGTTTTCAGTAACATTATTGATTTTCATTTAACTCAGAGAGGTGGCAGAAAGTTTTTATATCAAACAATAATCGCGTGGACTTTTCTTATCACCATGGTGTATCGCAATATTATTCATTTTGTAACAATAAAACGTTGTTCTTTCGTCGTGAAATAACGTTGAAACAAAGACCGCTTGGTATTGGATAAATTCGTGTTCTTGGAGTTTGTAGTTTTAAATGAAAACGATCAGTAAATTAAAGATAACACCTTCAAACACCTCCGTTACTTTGAGACGTGCTATCTTTCAATAGAGGAGGATTACCGAGGAGGAAAAATAATAGATAAGATTCTTTCAAACAACATTTTTTTAACGATACCAAAAGTAATCTTCTTTTTACTTTTAGTTCAAACAAGTTTAACGCGTGACTTCAAACAAGTTTAACGCGTGACTTCAAACTCACTTATCCATTTTATTTATTTTTTGCTTATGAATTATCACCAGCAAATCCATTAATAATAATTATCAATTCTTGCTTCTCGAGACAAACTCTAAAGTTCCAATCAAACCGTAATTATGAGAAAATCGAGTTAAATTCGTCCAAAAGAAACTACGACAGACCTTCTGCATCAGCCTAACAAAGCCACTCAACGATTTCCAATGAAAAAGCGACTCGTTTCCCAGAATTCGTTCGCGGACATCGCCAGACTATTGAGCGACTTCTTCCGTGACCTTGACGTAGTTCCATCGGATGTGGTCGCGGGGCTGGTTCTATTGAGGAAGTTCCAGAAAATCGAACGGGAGCTGATAGTGAAGCAACGGAAGAACGATACGTACGAGTTTCTGTCCGGTGTGCCAGTTACTCCTCGCACTAAATTCTTGTCCTTGACCGAGGACGGTGATCTGGGCCACTTTCAGTCGGCCATTCATTACATGCACTTCGCCCTAGCTGCTTATGGCTGGCCAATGTTCCTCATTAAAGATTCCACCGGCCTTTGTCAGTTGTGCGCAAGGTAATGTCATCAGGAACGTTGCGGTGTGCACGAGGTAGCGTGCAAGTCTTAGCGTCGATTGATTTTCACCGATGTTTCGCGTGGTTGCTCGGCAAAATCGTTTAATCGATTAACGTCCCGCTTTTAATTATACATCTGCTAACAGTTTCCAGGATGCAGATGACTTTTTTTTATTTAAACGAACTCTGTCGCACGTTTCTTTCAGAAACACACGCGCGCGCGCGTACCTGTGTGAAATTCTGTAGACATTTTAACGGAGAGAATGTTTTAAAGTAAAATTTGTACTAACGGGTGTAGTAATGAAATGTGAGGTGATTTTAATACATCTCGATTTTTCCAGTAATCTTTCCCTCTCTGTCTTTAATTTACTGGTAAGTTCAAGTAGTAGCTGCTACCAGTAGATAAAATGAATTACATGATTCGCTTGGTCGTATGTAGTAATATCTCTAAATTATTCATTGGTACATCTAATATGTTGAAGTCCATTTTACAAACACAATTATTTTGATTACTTTTGCGCAACAAATTCATTACTCTTGAAAATTTCGAACCTTTCGAGCCTTTCGAACTTCGACCTTTTAAAACGATACAACCGAAATAACATATTTACCGTCAGCCACCCACGTTGTTACGCATTAAAATCTGCCGTGGCGAAAGGGTTAAGAATAAATCAATAAACAGAAGAAAAAAATAAAACGAAAAATAATTGCCGAATTTGATAAAAGAGAAAAAGGGAAATGGATTGGTACACCTAATACGTAAAATAACATTTTGAGTCAAAACGGTCTATGATACACGCGTGTTCATTAAAACTCGTAGTCCAATCAATTAGCGACGAGCAATCGGGTCGCGAAACGGGTGAAACCATTTGTATGCCCGGATTAATTTCTGTCTCGTGCGAATGCATCGGGGAAAATAAGTTTGTCGGAACCCTGTGGCAGATTACGATGCAGCTGTTTCCCGTGCTGCGGCCACGAAGACGAGGCGACCGTGGTAGAGGACAATTGTTGCCAGTGCAATTACGCCGCTCTGAGAAAGATGGTCGACGTCGCCGAGGTGGAGGTCATTTACGCGACTTTTCACGTCGACGTCGGTGAGACGCCGTTCTTCGTCGCTCTCGATTACACGAAGAAAAAGGTTTCGCGTGTTTCCTCATTGATCCGCATACATCGAACTTGCAATTCCAACGCATCTCGCAAACGACGATCTTCGTCGACGGTTCGATTTAAAACCGCAGCTTCCGCCGCTGGTCCGTTCCGAACGGCTTAATTGGAAAATAAGCGGACCTCGTTTAGCGACTTCATGAATTTTTCAGCGATCATTAAGCGTGCAACAACGCGACGAACTTCCGTCTCGGTGCGACGCTTGCGAGGTGTTATGGCGTAACGTAGAGTTATAGTGCGAGGATTGTAGTTTAATCTCTGCTGAATAAGTTACACCGGTTCGCTTAACTCTGTTGAAGTCTAAGGTATCTTTCTTCGAGTTGCACGTCGATTATTCAACGATACACAAAAGACACTTGAGAAAAAAGAGGAGGAGAAACTTGGGGATTCGCTTGAATTTGACTTTTGTATTTCTTCTCATTCGTGAAAGAGAACGCGAAGACTTTATCGGAACGGAAGAGGGAACGAGTGTAACGATTTACAGCCAATCTTTTATCTCTCGCTGAAACTTCCATTGAAGATTTGAATCCTCAGCTGCTAAGATAGAGTTTTTAACAGTCGCTTTAACCCGAGCTCGAGCGAACTTGACGACGTTTAATTACCAATTTTCCGCCGGCTCTTTTCAAGGTTGTCGTTAGTATACGAGGAACCCTCAGCATGAAGGACGTATTAACAGACTTGAACGCGGAGGGTGAAGTGTTACCATTGTCACCACCGATAGAGGACTGGCTGGGCCACAAGGGGATGGTCCAAGCGGCCGAATACATTCGGAAAAAGCTCCTCGAGGAGGGAATTATATCTCGTGCTCTAGCCAAGGTATTATTATACCGCTGTTATCTTCGCCTCAAATGCAAAACAGCTTTTTACCTGGATTATAAATATCAACTTGTTGAACGGAATAATTATACTTTATCAGTGTACCCGTTACATGTTTCGAGTCACGAACAACGTTACTTTAAAAATGTAAAACGCTAGATGTAGAAAAAAAAACATTGCATTCGTAATTTTTACTTACTTTCCACATTCTTTTAATATTTAAATTAAATGTTACCATTCGGTTAATTAAATTCTTACATCAAACTTGTTTTAGGTTTTTTCGAAAATTTAATAGAGATGCTTTTCCAATTGAGAATAATTCACACTTAATAGAAATGCTTTTCCAATTGAGAGTAATTCACAGTTAATAGAAATGCTTTTCCAATGAAGAATAATTCAAACTTTTTCCGAAGGACGCATCGAGGGGAACACATCAATTCGGTCTGACACTCGTTGGTCATTCTTTGGGAGCAGGAACAGCAGCTATCCTGGCGATTCTACTTAAGCAAGACTATCCAGATCTGGTGTGCTTTTCGTTCGGTCCACCGGGTGGTCTCTTGAGCATGCCTGCTCAGCAATACTCGCAGGAATTTATTACATCCGTAGTAGTTGGGAAAGATGTCGTACCTAGGATAGGCCTTAGACAGATGGAGAGCTTAAGAGCCGATCTTATCAACGCTATAAAAAGAAGCGTCGATCCGAAAGTACGTACTTTATCCTGGACGAAATAGAAAATATAGAATTCTCGTAGCTTTCTGGACAAATTAAACACCCATCAAACTTAGAAAAACGTACATTAGCCCCTTTAATACCCTCTGTTTTTCATCGTTTTTCATATTCTGTTCACGAACAGTAAAAGAGATCTTTAGAAACAAATAACTCTTCTTTCGTTAATCCCTTGTGCATGCATTCAAATGACTATTTAGATTCCAAGAAATTTTGAACACTTCTTTCAGCAAAGCAAACTCAAGTATTCCGAAAAACTAAGAGCAAATTTCGCACTGATACAATTTCAGTAACTTCATTCACTATTAAAAAACATGCACGGTTAATTCGTACAGCTTGCCTCACCCGCGATTCACCGATAAATCGTTTACTGCAGCTCACGAGTCAGACTCCCGATTCAGACGAATATACCCTCTGAAAATGTACCAGATTCTCCATTATCATACAGTCGAAGTGCATCGCAAGAGTTAGTCACAGAGATATACATCACACGACAACTTTCGATTTGCAATATTTCAACGTTCCGCAAAGCGTCTACCCTTGAAACACGTTAGCTACCCTACAATGGGAGCGATAAGTGCTCTCGCATAGTTGGACAGGGAGTTCCGCCATCAATCCGAACGTTCGTTTCAGTGGAAAACGATAGCGTGCTCCGTGATGTGTTGCGGTTGCGGTTCCACTCCCACCTCAGCTGCAAATTTAGAGGCTGGCGGATGTATCAGCGAGTATCAGAGGGACAAGGACCTGGCTCGTTCGCAAACCGTTGTCCCAAGCGACTCCAGCATTGCGTTGACTTTACACAGGCCTCTCTATCCACCTGGTCGAATCATACATGTTGTCCGACATCATCCTAACAAGGGAGAGTAAGTTTCGAATCACGTATACTATTGTTCACCCTATTTGTTACATCGTCGTTCGTTAAAACAACGTGGACGCGCGATACACACGTTACGATGCAGTTTGTTAGGACGGAGAAGTGATCGGGGGTGTAAATTTTTAATCGACAATGTTTTCCGTTTCTAGGCAGAAGTATGAGAGCCGTTGGAGGTACGTTTTGTTCAGAAAGTTTGCATTTTCAGGTCTGCTCTGGGTAATTGCATCTTGAAGATGTGCCCGCATGCGTACCTTGGATTCCGTACTCTACGCTCTTTCTTTTTTTCTTTTTCTTTCCAAACTACTAGCGCACTCTCCGACTATCTTACGTCGGAGAAAAATTGCCGTACAAGTGTCTTAACGTATTTTGCATGAATGAGTTCATAGAGGACATGTTTATAATACCTGTGTAATACGACGCGTAGAGTAATTGTGCATACTCGTGTACAGAGTAATTTTCGTCTTCGAAACTTGGTTAGCGATGTGTCTAGGCAATCCCTAAGTAAAATATACTTAAGAGTGTCCCCTATTAAGAGCACTTATCCTCTTCCACGCGTTCTCACAGTAACACAAATAGAGTTCAGTAAGAACGATCTAACGTAACCTCCTTCTTAGCGTATTTCACTCTTGCGAAAGAAAATCGCGAAATTAGTGTGTGAGTGTTGTTCTTTAAGCTTCGTTTAGACAGCTCTAATTTAAACGATCGAAATAATCTATCGATGTATGTCCAAAAAGAACAGAAGAATTACTCTGTGCACGGTACAGAAAGTCAAACATTCCAATCCACAAGTGCATCTGACTGCATGTTACCTACGTAGCGACAATTACCCGATAGAAGGCTCTAAACCTCGATTTCGATCGGATCGTTGAACTCGCAGTTTACATCAATGGAGTGTTCGTTTCGTTGAATTCCAGACAAATGTTACACAAACACGAGCCGGTGTATCAAGCGTTATGGGCGGGCCCGTGTGACTTCGACGAGGTGCTGATAAGTCCAGTGATGATACAGGACCATATGCCGGACAATATGCTGAAAGCGTTGAACAAGGTAAGCCAGGCTGATTCGATAATACGTCCTCGGTATGCTCTCGGTATGGCCAGGTAGAGATCTTGGAGAAAACGACGGACGAAGAGGACAGACAGGCCTCGATACGTGTAGTAGCCCCAGTGTAGAGATTTATGGACACGTGAAAATCAATTGTCGAATAGTGCGCAAGCTGACGGTACCTGTAGTGTTGCGAGAAAGGTGTAAGAAACGAGACGATTCTGGTAAACTGGATCTTATGATCGACGAGACGAGGAAACTCTTTTTTCGTGAAACAGTGAGTCCTCTCACTGCTAACGTTCATTTTTTCTGTAGCGACTCTTTCGAGAGATCTAAGTTGGGAAAATATGTAGATTTGACGAGTCTCCTTAGATCATTTAGAACTGCATTTCATATTTTATAATTCTCTGCTGTGATAGTAGTGGCATGACTTCCATTAAGTGAAAGTAGTAGACGATGAATGATTTTTCTTTTTTATGAATGACTGTTATCATTTTATACTTTTATATCCTTGTAGTTGTAGTTGATTAAGTAAGAAACACATATTGTTGGATGAACCATGTGGATATAAGCAGTGACAGGAACGTCGTACGTTGATTACAGTGAATTTTCACGAGGAAAGAGTTGATCCAGTGAGAAAGAATTTAGAGAGATAATTCTAAGATACGTTTTTCTTTTTTTCTTTTTCCGACAAAACCTATTTGTTAGATGCTGACACTTTTTTAACGAATTTTATTGCCCGACTGATGAAAGAACTGCAAGCTTCTTTTCGTCTATGATAGAGTGAATTGCAATTGATATATTGCATAATATTTTTGCACATGATTATTTACTGAATTAGGAGAAACCATTATTGAAATGGTTGTAGTGGTAGTTTGTCTTCAATAGTATAGTATTTTTTTTTTTATCGCTGTTTAGTATTACTATTATTTTTATTTAATTTTCCATATCCTTATTTATATTTAAGGAGTAATTCATTTTCTCGATACCTGTTCACCGCGTTGGGCATAAAATCCAAGCAATTTGCATTTGTACGATGTAATAAAAAAAAAAAGAAGCAAATTCTTACTTTATCGGAAGTTACAATTTGTTTTTCGTTAGTTTCTTCTTGTGTTGCTGAAAATGATCAAATAGCTGACACGCATGCTCTTCGACACTGCATGAGTTACTGTAACTTTTACAACTTAATTATATTTGTAGCTTCTCACAACAATTCTGAAAACACTTTCGTTTTTTTTTTAATTATTTTTGTCCTCTGTTATATTCTGTTTTAATGTTTTTTACTTTGTGTCCAATTGCAATCCAAAACGACTGAAAAATTTCTATCTAATCGTAGAAAAATTTTTCTCACGAAAATAACGATTAATTTATTCACGTAACTGAATTATTTTATGCAAATCACTGTGGTATATTTTTTGCAAAGTAAAAAACGAAACCTTAAATTTTATATTGTTTCAACGGTTGTTTTGATTTGCATATTGTAACCACTTAATTTTGTACAATTTTCGATGTACGCTACGTTGATCAATATACTTTATATCATGAAAACGTTGTTATTTATTTATTTATTTATTTGTTACAATTTCGCTTCCTAATTCTATGCCTGAATTATTTGAAAGTAAATGTTAACGTTGAAGGCAAGTAGGACGATATGTAAACCATGTATTATCTATATTATTCGAAATTATCAGTTGTTCAATTTAAAACGAACCTTCTATAAATAATACATGCATAAAGAGAAGTATGAAAATGTACTTGTCACTTTTGTTCGTATCACTCTATTATATGTATATATATATACACTACCGGCCAAAAGTTTGGAATCACCTCCCACTTTTTGAAGTATATCTCAATTCTACGTTTATCAATTTATCTCATATCAATTGATTCGAATAATAAAAAATTCTCAAAGTCGCTGACTTTCTTCTGGAAATTTTTGTGTAAATTGCAATGCTCAGTGATTCCAAACTTTTGGCCGGTAGTGTCTATATATTTGTTTCGTTGAATACCGTTTCGCTAATACGCCTATTAATATTCGCTTTGTGTCACAGTCTCTCCCTAATTTCACACATTTCTAGATCACGCTAATCTTTCAGCATCTGTTGCAGCCGCAAGCAAAATTCGTCTGTTTTCGGCTTTGCATGAGAGTAAAACAAATTTTCCGCATAATTCCGAAATTTCACCAAAATCAATCAGCTGTTCAGAGCCTATTTTCACCACCCGCTCTCTATATTCAACGATGAATAGGTAAACAGCCTATAGACCCGATCAAACTAACCGATATATAGTCTTCCCACTTGCCTCGAGCAACCAATTGATTTTGGTCTAACTCTAACTGCAAGAGAGTCAATTTAGCGTAAGTAAAGAGACGTTGAATAAATCATTCGTAGACGTTGTTACATTATAGTTTCGAAGCAACTGTAGAGTAGACGTAAAGATAGACGTATCGATAATTACCTACAAATCAATCCTTTGAAATAGAAAAAAAAAGTTGCTGTCGAAACTTAATACAAAACCGCCAGTCGTTGTCGATATTAACCTTCGAACGTCGAATGCTGGGTCACAACTGACCCAGTTTTCAGATATCTCCCGTTTCGACCGAAATTCGAAACAGAAACGTTATTTTAATCATAGTTGATACAATTCCTGATAAAATAAAAAACAAACGTGGTTTCATTTGCATTCAAAAAAGATGCCGGTATCGGGTCATATTTGACCCAACATTCGCTGTCCGAGGGTTAATTGCATCGTTTGTGTCAAAGTGTGAGAAATTGTCTCGTGTCGAACGAGAAAGAGAAAGAATACAGAAAAAATATCGCAAAATCCCGGAGGAACCCTTGTTTTCACGCTTTTCTGCCTGTTCTGATAAACAAGCATCGCGTAAAAATTCTTCTATCGACTCGACGCCGCTCTATAGAAACCCCTGCCAGTCCCTGTAGCCTGAACAATTAATCGATTTACCAACTAGCATTAGACTAGGTATATCGTATTCCTCGATCGAATCGAAAACGAAAGAGTAGACACGTTATGAACGTTGTCAACCTCGAATCGTGGCGGCCGATTTTTACCGGTGATCTCACGAGAGGATGTGTGGCTGAGGGTGTGTGGTGTGTGGATTAGGTGTCAGCGTGCAGAGATCGCGGAGCTGCAGACGGAGATGCAGCATCGCGTGCAACGGTTGCAACGGACGCAGCAACCCAATGGACACCTGAACAACGACACGTCGTACTCCACCATCAAAGTACACCGACGAGCTCGCACGGCCGCGACGCCGACGTCTATGTCACCACACACTCTTCTCGCCACGACCCAAGGTACATAGACGTCTTTCGGCTTCATCCGGGATGTGTTTCACGGGCAAGTCTGCTCCCCAGTGATACCGTTCAGAAAATTATCCTTGATCAATTTGGTGTTTCACTCGAAACTGAGATATTGTGAGATCCTAAAAGGAGCAGATAACAACGAGGAAACGAAGAGGAGCGATAGCGTAGATTAGCGATTTTTAACCCGTTTTATCTCACAAAAATTCTATCTCACATCAAAAAATATATTGTATTTTTTCACCGATTTGACGAGAAAGTGTATCGGTTGAAATGAAGTCAGTGGTGCAGAGTTCTGAATTCGACTCTTTTGGTTCCTCAAATTTTTCCTCGGCTCCTGCGGTATTTCACTTTATTTCACTTTGATTCACTCTCGACTCTGGTAGAAGTTGATCTGATAGAATTTTGCACGATAGAAAGCACAGTGTGTGTGTGTGTGTGTGTGTCTTTGATGAAACGGTATCGCTGGTGTAGGAAAATGGTCGCTAAAGAAGTGGCTGTCTTCTGGCAATTGCTTGGAAACGTTCATTGTTGTTGAACGAGTGTTTGTTGTATGTGATTTCTATGTTGTATATTGTTGTTTATACAGAATATAAAGATACGATGTCCTATATACTGTGCTTTAAAGGTGTTACAAGCTGAGCGAAGAAAACGTTAATGAGATTTGACAGTAGCACATTTGTAGGTTCATCTTAACGAATTTTTCCTCAGATTTTAACACACCTTGGATAAATATACAATTCTAAGGTAGAATAATCAATGTTTTATAAAATTCGATAATTAATCGACGATGTTAAAGAATTCCAGCAGACAGACATTTCGACAATCGCCACCATTTTTAAACTGCCCTTTTGCATTTTACCGCATGCAATTACTCACAATCACGATTATTAGATATCACAATCCACGACCTTTCATCGACACGTTCGCTCGAAATACACATTTATCTTCGTTACTTGAGGGAAAACTACGTATTGCAAGTCAACAAGTAGAGATTGGCTTTCGTATATGAGATCGTTTGAACGATGTGCAAAAGGAAACGTAATAGCGGTATCGTAACGTTAACGCCGTAGATCAGCGATCTAGATCAGAGTCTCGATCTCGATCACTTTCGAATGGTATATGGTATATACGATACTTGTCACCCAAGTCGTTCATGCATGTGCACCCACGCATTTAGTCCATCACATTGGTCATTGTACAATTGATTCTTTTTTTTTTTCTTTTTCAGTATGTAACAGTTTAGTTTATCGTGATCTATCGTACGTCAACAGCATGCAGAGTATCATAAACGAAACGTTGAATATTTAAACAAGTACTTTTTCTCCCATTCTAATACAATTACCTACCCTCGTGGCAGGAATGTCCCCTGCATCGGTTGAAAGTTCATCTACATATTAACTATCACATAAATTTACCACCTTTTCTCTTCGCTCTGTTTTTTCTACCCTACGTACATACATGCAAAAAATTCGTCCGCAACAAAAGCATTGAAATACACGTAATTCCTGAATATTTCATCAATTTACCCTCCCCTCCGACACTTCATTTATTCGCTTTGAACGTTCCATGGACATTTTCGTTGAGAATTTTCGAGGCCGCGTAAAATGGAAATTTGGAAATTCGTGTTCGCTCGCAACGTTAGATCGCGACACGGATAAATAGTGTGTGCGTATTCGTGTATTTCATCTGGGTTTCTCTTTCACGGAGAATTTCTTTGAAGATGTGTAAAGAGCGCCAGTTATACACGTTTCGAATAGGGAAGAGGGATTTATCGAAGCAGAAAAATGTTTCAGTAAGAGCAGTTTTATTCTTCCGATAAAGCGATCTTCAAAATCGACATACGTTTTCCATTTTAGTCAACGACTGTGTTATCATTCGTCACACGTACCAACGTTCATGCGAACACGAACCTTGCCTCGCGTGATACAAATCGGTAAATTTGCAACTTCGGCGATAATGTTTAATCAGAGATTTCCTAAGTATTACAAATTTGAATAAAAGACACAGATTGAAAGGAGAAGCAAAGAAGACGAACTTAACGCTAATTTCAACTTCAAGACCATAGTTTATGAATTACACTTTTCTCAGCCCAATATGATAATTCAAGAACAACAAGCTATTAACCTCTCCTTCTCTGCTTGAAGATTTGTCCCTTAAGCCTTTTAGGGGATACATATCCCCGTTTAACTGGTCAAAATATCCAATGTTTATGCATTATCTTATAGTTTTTGATCTGAAAAAGTATCTGCAAAGTATTACAGCGAAATTCGTAAAATTGCCAGAGCTATAAAGGTGTAAACGTACCAGAATATTTTTCAGACTAACTGTAATTACATTTTTCCTAAGCCATTGAGTCGAAAAATAACACTTCTTCATTTAATAACAGTCTGATAGCACGTACCGATAGTGTAACTACACACAGCACCGGAATGTGTTAAACAACGTCCCCTTAATTACAGTAATTAAAGAAAATTCTTTGCTTCTCAAGTCGCTGTAACTCTAAAACAAATCTTATCACCCATCTCGACTCTTAGCGACGCGAAAAAAAGAAAAAAAAAAAAGAAACATGGAATTGTCGCGAAATAACGCCTCGGACTCGGTTCGTGAAACGATTACATTGGAAACACGCGTGTGGATATGCCAGGTTGTAACGACCCTGGGGCCAGCGAAGCCGCAGAGGCTCGCTTCCGGTCACGCATCGTCGACGGAGGCGTCGGAGGCGCGCGAGGTCGTCGAGGTGCAGGAGATGGAGATCGAGCAGGAAATGAGAGCGTTGCTGTCGTCGTCCAGCCCTGTAAAGACGCATCCGAGTAACCTGGCTGGAACGCCGCCTCACAGACTCTGCCTGGAAACGTCCTTCACATCCTTGCAGAGCCCCTCGGAGTTCCCCCAAGCTGGACGCGAGCTGAGCGTCGACTCGAGGGGGATTCCCTGGGAGTACGTCAGCCTGGCCAGCGAATTGCTCAACACGCCCAGGGCCGACGAGAGTAAATCGTAAGAATAGCACATTTACGTCTGGGATGACGAACTGCGATCTCTGTGTGACGGAGGACTGTCTGACGTCGCGAGTCAACGACGATGAATTTAGATATATGATCAGGATTTTTAGGGGTAAAAGAAGACAAAAAAAAATATGAAACTCTCGGATTGACTATTTTTAAGGAGGTACCCTAAGTGAGTGAGCGATGAGATATCCATGTGTTTCCTGGAAATTGATCTATTCGCATACTGTACATTCTCTGCTAATTCGTTCGTTTGATTACTTCGCACGAAAAAAAAAAAAAAAAAAAAGAAACGCAATACGATTCATTCGGTGGATTTCTCTTCACAGTAAAAAGTTAATCGAAGGATTGTTTCGGCGAGTTTAAGGAACCTCGTATGTCACGCTCTCGTTCACATTATTCGCTTTACTTCACGACTCGCAGTGTTCACCGCTTCGGCAGCCGCGCACATATTATACATACTCATTGCACTCGATCAGATCATCGATAGAAAATAAAATCGCAGCTTAAGAGGAACACCTTTGCGCCATTCCTCTTCTAATCGACGATACATCATAGTTTTCTTCTTCTTTTTCTTTTCTTTCTTCTTCTTCTTCTAATTGGTCCCGAGAGTTAGCTCAAGCGTTGTTTTGATGTAAAGATCGAATCGTCGAGGCGATTGGGAAGACAGTTCACGAGCGGCGCCGTTGGCCACTCCGGAAACTCTGTCGGAAGCGTCGAGCAGTCCACCATCGCCGGTACCACCACCGAGACCAATGAGACGAACCCCCAAGATCTCGGGAAACTTGTCAACGGCGGCGGACGACTTGAAGAACAACCTTCACTTCGCCATGCTCTCAGCGAAGAACTACTTTCTGAGGGAGGGGAACAACGGCAGTAACACAAGCAGCGGAAATAGCGAGGCGAGCTACGAGAGCGCCAAGAGCTTAACCGCTGGTCTTCCGCCGCCAGTACCGAGAAGACGGGATTCCGTCCTTGTCAGAAGGTATTCGATTTTTCCGTCCAACTACGATTATTATCTGCACGTATCGCGAACGACGAATTCTTAATAATCAGTTATCATTAAGCAGTAACGATACGAATGTTTAGACCTGAAAGATAGAGTGTTTGGTCCAGAGAGATAGACGTCTGAATGTTTAGCCTAGAGCGGTGATTTTCATTTCAGTGTACAGGTGTGACCAATATTTTTTGATACAAGTTACAAAAATTTGAAAACTAATGAAATAAAATTGATTTTTTTTGTAAATCATTTTTGAGGTGAGAGTTCAAGTGTTAGATGGAGTAGAGATTATTGAGTTTTAATTATGTCTCCAATCTAACATCCGTGCAATACTAAAAGGTAAACGAAACTCTTTGTAAAACAACTCCTTTCTCCTCTTTCTGGTGCATTCTACCAAGAGTACGATTTTCTTTGTACAACTGTTTCTCTACGACCCTTTCAATAAAACTGGCTCTCAATAGCTGCTTCTTTACCCGCTGCGCTCTTTAAATTGACACACATACCGCGCACTCCTGACACGCACTTCAGTCATCTGAAAATCTCCACTTGCATTCCAAGCAGCTATTCAATGCTCGCCGATATTTCCTTTCCACCCGATACCCGTGACATGAACACTTACCCCCGCGATATGAATTCAACTGTGTCAACTCCTACTGTCTGATAAATTCTCTCGCTTCGATAACATCATGTTAGAAAGAGTAAAAGATTGAAGTGAAATAATCGTGTGTAATTTGAATGGAATGCTACAGAGAGCAAAGAGTGTGCACAGCTGCCTGCTGTAGGGACGATTTGTCCGAAAACTCCTCGTCGCACACATCTACTCATTCCTCTGGAACGTCTCACGCGTCGAATCAGATACAATCGGAGTTCCCACTGGAGGAACCAGGAACGAACAGATCCAGTCTAGATTTTTACGAAGCGAAGGTAAAATTATTTGAAACACGATGTTTCACGTGTTACACTGATTTGCAAGAGTTTACGAAAACGTTCAAGAACAATGTGATATATGAAGTAAAATATAAGACGTATTTCTAGGATTCCTCTGGACAACGCGATAGCAGTAACGACGTGTTCCTCAGTGTGAGAAGTTCTCCAGAATGTTTAGGCCTGATGGCACCAGCCACAGACTTAGGAGCAGAGTGGAAGAAGAAATTCGACGCGACAGGAACGCCCGCTGATGCTTCGCTTCCCCTATTACGTGGATTATCACCTACACCTACGCACGGACAACATAGTTCACCTTTCTTCAACGCAAAACGCAAGAAATACGTGTATCCGATCACGCTGGTTGGCCGAGGCGAAAGTAGCGTTTAATTGCAAGAAGTTAGACTGATCGGGGACCATAAAAGAGAGGCAGGATAGATTTAAAAGTAACTACTAGGTGTCTGTGCCAATGTCGCATTAATACGATATGTGATTGTTCAGAGTCGTTCGTATATGCCCACAAGTGGATGAACATGCGAAATATTCTAAAATTAAGGGGCCATGTAATATCTGTGTAGCCTCTTTTTTGTATGACCTTTCGCTGAAGTCTATATAAAGGATGACACGAGACGATGGTAATTCCGGGAATTCCTCGAATAAATAGGTAGATAGTGAATTTTGAATGATATTCAATTTTTATCGTAGGATAAAAAGGCTATTTCCTCTTTGTACAGTCGTTTCTTGGGACGGAACGAAGTATTTTCTGATTCAGAAAGTTTTCTGCCAACTAAAAGATAAACCAAAGGACAAATAAGATACAGAGTTGATTACGTGTACATTAAAGATATAATAAATAAATAATGTATGAAATCAAATAGGAGAATTAGTAAGAAAAGGAGGAAGAAGGCAACGGGGTTACCGTGGATGACGATTTACACGAATGAAGATGCCTTGCTACTTAAGAGGAATATCAACTTTTAAGAGTAACTTCTAAAAATATTGACACTTGTTTTTAATTGTTAATTGTTCTAACGCGGTGAAAACGTGTGAACGTTATTGCAGAAGTTGCACTGGCCTACTCTACATCAATATCGTTTAATACAACAATTTTGATGCATTTTTGTACAGTTTTTTAACAGTGTTAACAAAGATATAATAAAAAAGAAACGATAGTCTTATGTCAATATATCTTTTGCAATCATCCATATAATTTCGCCATATTGTTTAAGACTATCCTTTTATGTAAACTTCAAGAACTTTCACAATATTTTGAATAATAATTTCCATTTTTTTACTAATTTTTTAATGAATGCAAAACTGGGACTGAAAACGTACATAAATTATATATAAAATGTAAAATATGTAACCTTAAAAAAAAAAAAAATGCAATTG